TTGATCGATCAACATATCAAGTTTTTTAAAAAAAGCATCAGCAATACAAGCTACAAATAAACCCAAAAAATTGATAAAGTCAGTAAAAAGATTATTTCAAATTTGGAATACAATGTGTTGTGTTAGTGTATTTAATTTTTGATTTTATTTGTTAATAGTATACTACATGAAATTTGTATGATTTATGTATGAGTTGAGTTTTTAGTATTATACATTATAATTATATATGCATATTGAATGATTTTGTGTTGTATGTTTTGTATATGATATAATTTGAATATATCAGTATATGATTTGATACATAATAAATGTATTAATTTAATATGATTTTGTGTATGAAATAATTGGTCATTATCGATACAGGATGTATGCATTATGTATTACCTTTGTATCATATATGTATAAATGATATTCTTGTCCAGTAAAATATATGTGTATGAATGATGTATTAATGTTGTGTATCCTATAATTTTGACTTTTATAACAAGTATTGCAACTGTACATTTTATTTTTCGATTTTGATGTATGAATTGACGTATTCATACTAAATGAGATTAGTTTGTAGTTTAAAAGTTACAGATTAGTTTTTTTTTTTAAAATTGAATATGTATTAATATTGTATGAATTGCGTATGAATTGAGGCATATAGTTTTTATGATTTTTGTATGAATTGAATTAATGTTCATCAAATATGTATTAATATTGTATGAATTTTGTATATAATTTATATGATTTGTGTATGAATTAATTGAATGTCAATTTAATATAGCATTGTATATATGATTTTTTCTATGGAATTTTATAGTATATAAAAAGTAATAATTTAGTTTTCAAATTTTGTAGGAGAAGAAGGTTCAAACACATTTATCTTCCTGTATCAACATGATTGTGTTCGCTGATTTGTTGACCTTCCTCGGTCAAGATAAGTTTCAGCAATTTTTACAAGAAACCCCATTTGGATTTTTTAATGATTTACATAACATAAAATTTCAATGTCAATTGTTGCGTCATACTTTCCTTCTTAAATCTGAGACATGGCAGGGTTGATATGTTCATTATCAATGTAAATAATACAGAGTTATATTTTGACTTGAAAGAGTTTGTTGTTTAACCGGTCTAAAATCTGGACCAATTTCTGATTTTGTTTTTGACCCATCTATTCCAAATAGATTAACTGCAGAAAATTTTGGAGACTTTGACAAAGTCCCCAAGTCAAATTTTTACCACAAGTTTAAATTGGAGAACTTTTGGGAAGAAGATAACCGTTTATAATCAGTTTATATAATTCATACACACTTCATACACATTTAATATATCATTCGTTGTCCTACAAACTACTTCAATTAAACAAACACAATACAATTTCAATACAAAATTAATACAAAAACACATATTCTAATTTCAATAGAAACTAGGATATTCTTTTTTTAAAAAAAGGACTTTCATAAACAATTGATACACGTTTCGTATATTTTTCATACACTAATAATACAAACTTTAGACTTCAAATACGCTATATGTAACATAATTGTTTCATTCAAAAAAAATATACAAACTGTATTTCAGATGATACAATTATAAAAAAAAAACCAAACACTGTTCTACATGTAAAAAACATCAAATTAATTAAAACCAACAATTCATAATTAAAAGAAACAAATCATAATTAAAAATCAACCTGATGAATTTCACTTTTCACCACATTTAATTAATATTGACATAATGTTCTCCATCAGATCAAATCAAATTGTTTTGAACGCCAAAATTTATTAGGTTACTAAAAAAACGAACTGAAATATGCAAATATGAAAATAATTGTGAAATTTTGGGGAAAATGACTTCTACATTGATGCAAATTTGAAAATAATCGTGAAAATTTGGAAAAAAGATGAATTGAAACGATGATGCAAATAAGTTTCAAAATGCCAATCTGATAATAATCTACAAATTTAAAAATAATCGTTAAAATCTGGTAAAATTTTGTAAGGAATTAAATCAAAAAAATAATATCATTTAAACTTACTAGAGATATTTAAGGCAGTGATGCTAATCTGAAAGTTTTTGATATCCCTAAAAATGTGTTAATCTAATATTAAATTTTAATTAAAATCCCTTAAAACGTGCTAGTATACAGTTTCAAAATGTGCTAACTACATTTAATGTAATTAATAAAGTATTCCATTTTCCGTTATTAGTTTGTCCGTGTGTTAATTAGGTATATTAATTATCCATTATTAGTTTATTCCTTTTTTTTATTAATTGTTAATAACAATTCTTTTTAATTAAATTATAATTAACATTATATTTATTATAAAATGCTATAGATTGAGATATTAAATGTTATACACTGAAATTTAAATTCTAATGCTATAACTTGAGAATATTACTATATAAAATGCTATATACCTAATTTACACATAATAAAAAATATTTATTGGCCAACAAGAATATGCACCAACCAATATACTAATCTCGTGTATCAAAACCATGATTAATCAAGCCACCAAAGAAAAATCGAGTGCACTCATGAGTAGTAAGCCATGAAAATCATATGTAAAGAAATATATTAAAACAATTTCACAATTTAGACAAATTTGTAGTTTACATTTTAACTATCTATGTTCTCAGAATTTTACATAAAGATTTGCAAATATTATTGAATCTACCATTTACAAATTTAAATTATAAAATAAGATAGAAATGTGTATTTGCTTATTTTATGTTTTTGACATGTTATTTTTCACGGAAAGCCAAATACTTTTTGACAAAGCAGTGAGAGTCAAAGCCAAAATTTTACTATACTATATTGGAAAACTTACGGAATCACTACTTTAGAAGCTAATTACTTATATATATGTTAGCTTGTAATATTACGAATCTTATTAAATTTTGGCGCGTTTAGATACATTCATATACATGTATCTCGGGATATATGAGGTCAAAATTAAGTGTAATATATTCTAGATGCATATATCCAAGTGGATTCGAATGTATATGGAATACATAACAAATCTTGCTTGCCACTCTCATTTGTAAGATACGTATACATGGGAATCAAACCAAATACATACCGATGCATGTTTTTAATGTATATCTAATGTGAATTTCCATGGATCTGAGATACATGAGTATCTCATGCCTCCCTCCCCATGTCACTCACTTTTTTTCCTATCTTAGTGTTATCTAGTAGGGAAAATACATATATCTAAGTATATCTTCCTTAATATATGATTAAAAAACTTTTAATTAGTGATAAAATACGTAATTATTAAAAAATATAGATATAATTAATATATATGATACAAATATATGTCTAATAAAATAGTTTTTCCTATTATATAGCACAATCTTGATACGTGAATCACTCAATCAGAAAATCAAATTGATATAGAAAGAATATGTTTCTAATTTAATTAAGGTCTGCGGCAAAATTACAATGTGGAGTGGTCTCATGACAAATGTTAAATCAATAAAGATTGTCAAGTCATTGAAACATAACATTGCTAATAGGACTGTCCATGAGGTTGGTATTAGCCCAACTTTTCCAGCCCAAGAAAAAACCTTTGCTTACAATTTGAGTTTAAAACTAAAAAAGTGTTCTACTATAGGGTGTGCTTGGTATGGAGAAAAATGTTTTCTTCTTTTCTGATGTTTGATTGGATAAATTTTTTGAAGAACATATTTTCTAGGAAAATAAGTTTCTTAAAAATAAGAAAAATGATTTTTTTAATGAAAATAGAGGAAATATGTTATACAAATGATATTCAATATTTATCATAACTACTTACCCACTCGCATACCAGCACCAACTCCTACACCTTGACCATCTCACCCTTGCTGCCACTGAGGCCCCACTGTCCAACCCTCCCGCCCCCTTTATTATTTTTCTAGATTTCATAGAAATACTCTTGAAATAACTTCTTTTTTTTTTTGCTTACTTACCAAATTCTAAAAAATAAGTAAGTTTAAAGTCATAAATTGGTCAACCAAGAAATGGTTTATCAACTTTTAATCACTTTTAGTTTAATCAATAATTTACTATTTTTTTTATTTTGCCTTAGCGTTACTTTCGGGTGATTTCCGAAGATTTGAGCATGCGTACCTTAATTTTGTGATTGGATCATATCTTGTAGCATCTCTTTGGTATATTGTATAATTATTGGTAGCTTGTTCTTATATAGCCTAGGCGTAGGCTAGTGATTGCCTTTGACTTGTATTTGGAGTAGAATAGTATAGTATAGTATAGCAGACTTGGATCTGATAGTATGAGCCTTAGTTGGAGACAACTCATCCATCGTGACACCTTTGTCTATAACTTCCATTATGCTACGTTTTTTCATCGTAAAACCGGGCTTTATTTCACTATTTGAGATTGGACTTGCGTTTATACATGGGATAAATCTTTGGTAAATTTTGATGTTGGGTTTCAATCCACTATAGCCTTTACGATGGTAACTTGTGTTATAGGATCCTTTCCTATCTGCCCTTATAGTTGTGGTTTGAGTTATGGGTATATTATCTTCAACCACGGTTCAAGTTTCGGGAGCATTACTCTTAGTTGGGTTGAGACCTAACAATGTAATTCTAATATGTACTTCTTTCGGGTGACTTTGTCGCAGTTCATCAAATTTTGAGTTATCTTCTCCTTTGCTCTGGATTTCACCTATTCTCGATCATAAATAGTAGTAACTCTTATCTATATTCATCAGACTTATAGGAGTCTATTTGAGTTATTGTGGGAATAAAATCTTGGCAACAATTAATTTGGCAGCCATACCTGTTGAAATTACTAGCCACAAATGTGAAAATTGATAGCCACCAATATGAAAGTTGGTAGCCGTATTTGTTGAAATAGGTACTCAAAGTTTGGCATAAGTTTGGTAGAGTTTGGTAGACAATTTAAAAATTGGTTACCACATTATGTCATTAATAATGTAATCAAGTGTTCAAAAAAAAACTCTATAAATAGAGTAGTGATTGAACACTAAAAGACGCACCAAAATAGAGAAGCAACAGAGAGTAGAGAGAGTAATCCACAAACTACTTCTTAGTTTGTGAGAAAATATTTTGCAAGTAATATTATCGTGAGTTTTGAAAAATAAAAGAGTGTTGAGTAGTAGTCTTTTGACACTATCAAGTTTTTCATCAATATTATTATATTACTTATTCGGGTATCATATTTACCCATTTAATATTTGGTATCGTTACTCTCTTCCTATTGCAATTTAGTTTGGACATTATCCTGGGTGTGATTATCATTTTGTCTAACAACGTGGTATCAAATCCATAACAAGTAATACTCTGTTGTCCTTTCTATACCCCCATCTCACAAGAAAAAATCATGAAAAATGGTGTCTACGAATGAAAGTCATTCTTGACTCTCAAGATGTTTGGGATATTGTAGACAAAGGGTATACAAGAACCACAAATGAGGAAACTTTGTCCTCAAATGAAAAGGGGGTATTGTTAAAGACAAGAAAGAAAGATCAACAGGACCTCACTCTTATCCATCAAAGTTTGATGATGGCATATTTGAGAAGGTGTCATATGCAACCACCTCAAAAGAAGCGTGGGATATTTGGAAAAATTCTCTCCAGGGAGTTTCTAAAGTAAAGAAGATAAAACTTCATACTCTAAGGGCTGACTTTGAAGTTTTAATAATTAAAAAATCCGAATTCATTTCAGAATTCTGTTCAAGATTGATGGTTGTTGTAAATCAACTAAGAAATTACGGGGAGGAAGTAGATGATGTGCGTGTGGTAGAAAAGATCCTTCGTTCTTTAACACCTAAATTAGATTATGTGGTGTGTATAATTGAGGAGTCTAAAGATTTAGACTCTATGGTGGTAGAACAATTGAAATGTTCTTTACTAGCCCACGAAGAGAAAATGAAAAGGAGAAAAAAAGAGCCACTAGAGTAACTTCTCAAAACTCATGCATTCTTCAAAAGATTTGAAGGTGAGAAGAGTTAAGGAAATGGAAAATGGCAAGGCCGTGTTGGTCGTAAAGGCCGAGTAAGAGGAAGAAGTTATACCAATCATATCAGCAATGAAGATAAAAGTCACTAGTCATTCAGAGGTCGTGATCGTGGTCAACGAGGAGGTAGAGTATGTGGATCCTATCAAGGTACAAATGAAATGAGGTATGACAAATCTAAAAAGAAAAAATTGTGGAGATAAAGAAGATGGTGAAAGGTAATATATCTTTTGGAGATACCTCAAAGATCCAAATTGAAGGGATAGGTAGGATTTTGATATCTTGTAAAGATGATGACCATAAATTGATTTCTAATGTTTATTATGTACCAAAATTGAAAAGTAATATTTTGAGTTTGGGTAAACTTCTTGAAAAAGGATATGATATTCATATGAAAAATATGCATATTTGATTTAGAGATTCATGTAACAACTTAATTCCTAAAGTTCATATGGCAAAGAATAAGCTGTTTCCTTTGAATCTTAGAACAATCGATGCAAAGTGTTTGAAGGCCAATATGCAAGATCACTCATGGTGTTGACATATGAGATTTGGGCACTTGAACTTTGAAGTGCTCAAATCAACAGGAGACAAAAACATGGTTGATGGGATACCGTCAATCAACCATTGAATTCAATTGTGTGAAGCTTGTCTTCTTGAAAAATATGCAAGGAGGAGTTTTCCAAAAGAGACTACATCAACAACAAGTAAGCCACTTCAACTTGTACACACTAATGTGTGTGTTCCAATCGATCTACCTTCTTTTGGTAAAAGAAAATACTTCTTGGTCTTTGTTGATGATTTCAGTAGAAAGACTTGGGTATGCTTCTTGAAGCAAAAATCTGAAGTTTTTGTTGCCTTTAAAATTTCAAATAACCTGTAGAAAAGAAAGTGGTTATGAAATAAAAGCATTAAGGTCCGATAGAGGAGGTGAATTCACTTCAAAAGAATTTAATGACTTTTAAAGATGGTGGCCATAAATTGATTATAATGTTTATTATGTGCCAAAATTGAAAAATAATATTTTGAGTTTGGTCAACTTCTTGAAAAAGGATATAATATTCATACGAAAAATATGCATCTTTGGATTAGAGATTCAAGTAACAACTTAATTTCTAATGTTCATATGGCAAAAAATAGGTTATTTCCTTTGAATCTTCAAACTATCGATACAAAGTGCTTGAAGAAAAATGTGCAAGATGACTCGTGATATTGGCATATGAGATTCGGGCACTTGAACTTTGAAGCGCTCAAATAAATGGGAGACAAGAACATGGTTGATGGGATACCGTCAATCAACCATTCAAATCTATTTGAGAAGCGTGTCTTCTTGGAAAACATGTAAGGAGGAGTTTTTCAAATGAGACTACATCACGAACTAGTAAGCCACTTCAACTTGTTCACAATGATGTGTATGGTCCAATTGATCCACCTATTTTTGGTAAAAGAAATACTTCTTGGTCTTTATTGATGATTTCAGTAGAAAGACTTGGGTATACACTTTGAAGAAAAAATCTGAAGTTTTTGTTGCCTTTAAAAATTTCAAAACACTAGTTGAAAAAGAAAGTGATTATAAAATAAAAGCATTAAGGTCCAATAGAGGAGACGAATTCACTTCAAAAGAATTTAAAGACTTTTAAAGATGGTGGCCATAATTACTAATGTTTATTATGTTCCAAAATTGAAAAATAATATTTTTGAGTTAGGGTCAACTTTTTGAAAAAGGATGTGATATTCATATGAAAATATGCATCTTTGGCTTAGAGATTCAAGTAACAACTTAATTGCTAAAGTTCATGTGGCAAATAATAGGTTATTTCCTTTGAATTTTCAAACTATCGATTCAAAGTATTTGAAGGCCAATGTGAAAGATGATTCATGGTGTTGACATATGAGATTTGGGCATTAAACTTTGAAGCTCTCAAATCAATGATAAACAAGAACATGGTTGATGGGATACCATCAATCAACCATCCAAATCAATTGTGTGGAGCTTGTATTCTTGGAAAACATGCAAGGAGGAGTTTTCCAAAGGAGACTACATCAATAATAAGTAAGCACTTCAACTTGAACACACTGATTTGTGTGTCTAATCGATCCACCTTCTTTTGGTAAAAGAAAACACTTCTTGCTCTTTATTGATGATTTCAGTTGAAAGACTATGGTAAACCTTTTTAAGCAAAAATCTGAAGTTTTTGCTGCCTTTAAAAATTTCAAAGCACTTATAAAAAAAGAAAGAGGTTATGAAATAAAAGCATTAAGGTCCGATAGAGGAGGCATAATTCACTTTAAAAGATTTAATGACTTTTTTCAATCTCATGGAATTCCTCGCCCTCTAACGGTACCTTACTCGCCCCAACAAAATGGATATGTAGAAAGTAAGAATAGAACAATTCTTAATATGGCTAGATGTATGTTGAAAGCTAATTATCTACCAAAAGAATTTTGGACCGAGGTTGTTTCTTGTGCAGTTTATTTGAGCAACACGTCTCCAACAAAAATGTACGAGCTCAAACACCTCAAGAAACATGAAGCGAAAGAAAGACAAATGTTAAACACTTGAGAATATTCGGGAGCATAGCTTATGCTCATGTTCCACATCAAGGGAGATCTAAAATTGACGATCGTAGTGTCAAACATGTGTTTGTTGGCTATGATGCAAGTTCAAAAGGCTACAAATTGTTTAATCCACGCAATAACAAGGTTGTGGTGAGTCATGATGTTGAATTTAATGAAGAAGCATCGCAAAACTGGGAGGCTCTAAAAGAAAAAACATATGATTTTCTTCCTTACTTCGGAGATGAAGAAGGATAGGAGACCATGGAACCTGCACAGGTTGCAACCCCGCCTTCTTTACCAGCAAATGTTGCATCTCCATCTTTTCAAGAGAGTTTAAGTGAAAGACCACATTGGATGATGATCATTCTATGATGACATAGAAGAAATTACTAATTTTGATTTTTTGTGTTGTCTCTTTGCTGATAGTGAACTAATAAATTTTGATGAAGCTCTTACTGACAAAAGGTGGAGACAAGCCATGGAGGAGGAGATCCAGTCAATAGTGAAGAACTACACTTGGGAGTTAATAACTCGTCCAAAAGGACCATCGAGCAGTTGGAGTCAAATAGGTATATAAGATGAAGAAAAATGCCCATGGAGAGGTTTAAAGATACAAGGAAAGCTTCTGGCTAAAGACTACAAACAAAGGAATGACATCTACTATGAGGAAGTCCAAACGTCTGTTGCCCGCATGGAGACAATCCGTCTATTGATCTCTTTAGCAGCGCAAATGAAGTGGAAGATCCATATGTCAAATTGGCATTCTTGAATGGATATCTTGAAGAAGAAGTCTATGTTGAGCAACCATTGAGTTTTGTGGTTAAAAATTACGAAGATTAGGTGTTGAGGTTGAAGAAAGCCTTAGATGGGTTGAAGCAAGCTCCACGAGCTTGGAATAGTCGCATTGACAAATACTTTCAAGACAATGGGTTTACTCGTTGTCTCCATGTATATACTCTTTACATTAAAGTTCATACTAATGGAGATATCTGTTTGTTTGTCTTTATATTGATGATCTCATTCTAACGGGTAACAACTCAATTTTATTTGAAGCTTTCAAGAAAGCTATGTCCCTTGAGTTTGAGGAGACAGACATAGGGCTCATGTCATATTACTTGGTCATAGAAGTGAAGCAAATAGAGGAAGGCATCTTTATATCTCAAGGAAGCTATACAAAAGAGATTCTAAAGAAGTTCAACATGTTTGATTTCAACCCTGTGAATACCCAGTGGAAAGTGGAACAAAATTGACAAAATTTGACGATGGAGAAAAAGTGGATTCCTCTTTGTTCAAAAGTCTCATAGGAAGTCTGAGGTACTTGACATGTACGAGACGAGATATACTCTTTGCAGTTGGAGTAGTAAGTCGCTTCATGGAAGCTCCTACCTCCATTCACTTGAAGGCCACTAAAGGAATTCTTCTCTCCCTAAAAGGTACAATCAACCTTGGGCTATTTAATTCTTCTTATGATTTTAATCTTGTTGGATATTGTGATAGTGATTATGCGGGAGATGTTGATGATAGAAAAAGAAAATATGGTTTTGTGTTTTTCTTGGGTGATTGTGTTATTTCTTAGAGTTCAAATAAACAATCAATTATTACTCTATCGACTTGTCAAGTTGAATACGTGGCAATGACATCATGTACGTGTTATGCTATTTGGTTGAGAAGATTGTTGAAGGAACTCAATTTGCTGCAAATTGAAGCCACAATGATTTGTGTTGATAACAAATCCGTGCAAGCACTTGCAAATAATCCTGTATATCATGATTGAAACAAGCACATAGACACAAGGGATCACTTTATCCGAGAATACATTGCTAAGAAAGAGGTAGAACTCAAGTATGTGAAATCTCATGATCAAGTTGCGAATATATTTACAAAGCCTCTCAAGTTTGAAGATTTTCAAAGATTGAGATCATGCCTTGGAGTAAAGAAGAAAAATCAAAATTAAGGGAGAGATTTGTGGTAAAAATTCTTGGCAACAATTAATTTGGCAGCCATACTTGTTGAAATTACTAGCCACAAATGTGAAAATTGATAGCCACCAATGTGAAAGTTGGTAGTCATATTTGTAGAAGTAGGTAGTCATAGTTCGGTATAAGTTTGGTAGAGTTTGGCAACCAATTTTTGTGAAAATTGGCTACCACATTATGTCATTAATGATGTAATCAAGTCTTGAAAAAACTCTATAAATAGAGTAGTAATTGAACACTAAAAGACATACCAAAATAGAGAAGCAATAAAGAGTAGAGAGAGTAATCCACAAACTTTAGTTTGTGAGAAAAATATTGTGCAAGTAATATTATTGTGAGTTGTAAGAAATAAAAGAGTGTTGAGTAGTAGTCTACAACCAACTTTTTGATCAATATTATTATATTACTTATTCGGGTATCATATTTACCCATTTAATATTTAGTGTCGTTGTTACTCTCTTATTATTGCTATTTAGTTTGGACATTATCCTGGGTGTGATTATCATTTTATCTAATAGTTATTACTTTCAAATTATGCATGACTGTACCTTCTCGACTCATGGATCCAATTAGGTTATTGTTAGCTACTTTACCTTTCAGTTTCTTCTGCTTCTAGACTCGTGAGGTTTATAGTTAGTCACATTTTATCGCTTTGCTCGATTGACCTCTAGTCGGTGTTACTTTATCGTTTTTCCTCTTTACTTTTTTATTTTTCGTGCTTTGTCAGTCTATGATGCGTACAAAGTCTCTATTATTTTGATACTCATACTACACTCTACATTTGTTTTCCTGATATAGATCCTAGCTCCAACCGTCAGTGTTGATTAGGACAGCTTTAGAGATCTTTGGAGATTGAGGGTGAGCTGATGGTGTTTTAGTTTAGCCTATCTCCTTCTGTATATAACTTTTGGGCTAGTTTTTTTATATTTCAGTTAAGTCTGTACTTTTTGATCCACTTTTGTGACTTATACTCGTATAGTAGTTTTATATTGATATCCACCAGGTTGGAGGTTTGGATCTTGTACTATTGGCTTTTGTATATATTACTATTCTTGTCTTTAATGCTTTGCTTTAAATTTCTCGTTGATTATTGTTTGTATTCAATATACATGTTATTTGTTGTTTCAGAAGTTCATTTGACTTGCCTATTGGTGGGGCATGATAGGTGTCATTATGACTCGAATTTTTGGATCATGACAACTTTTGAAGATAGACTTATCTTATCTGATTATTGTTTACCTCATTTCCCCCTTTATATACAATAATTGTGTATGTCCCTTTAATAGCTTATCATGTTCGAAATTTTTGTTGTTAGCATTGATATTTTTATTAATTTTTGTAAAAAAAATAGTTGAACATGGTAGAAACCTCGTCGTTGGGACTTGAGACAAATACAAATAAACATAAAAAATTGCTTCACCATGTGCTTGATTTCTGTGAGCAAGTTTACAAATATCATCTATTTTAATTTGTTGCAAAGAAAATTGATTTGTACTTCAATATCCCTCATCATAACTCTCCTAGTTATACTTCTTTTAGTAACTTTGTAGTATATTATAAACTTGGGCTTGAGACTTGAGTGTATATATGGCCCAAAAGTTCTCCTAGTTATAGTTCTTTTAGTAACTTTGTAGTATATTATAAACTTGGGCTTGAGACTTGAGTGTATATATGGCCCAAAAGTGTTTCAAATGTCTCTTTAAATAACTTCAAAATCCATAGAAATAGTAAGCAACAATTATTAATTCTTGCATTAAATTTGAAGAAGCAACATTAACTAGGTAACGTACTTTGACATTTTATTTTCATAAAAAAAAAAAAAACTTAAATAGAAGAAAGGGTAATAGGATACCCATCTGTTGGAATGGCTAGTAAGAAAAAAGGATACAGTATTTTTTCTAAAGGAACCTTAGGCTCCCATCTAAAATTTTTAAGTAGATGATGAAGAAAAACAAGAATCAATATTCTTGCAAATTCTTTTCCAGGACACATTCTGTGTCCTCCACCAAATGGAACTGATGTATAAGGAACTAGTCCATTTCCTTCAAATCTTGAAGGATCAAACTTTGTAGGATTTGGAAAATATTCACCATTCTTTTGTGTAGCTCCAAAACTCAAATATATCTGCAAAATTATTTAGAATAGCACTTCTAATTATATATTTATTAAGATGTCAAGAAACATTCACAAAGTAATCACATCAAGGGTTAAACTTAGACATGAATAAATTAATTTAATGTAGGTGTAAATTGTATGCACAAGTTCTACGTATCTTTAGATATACATGGATGGATATACGTGCAACGCACGTGTTGAAAAACAAATACAAGTATTACTAATGTCAGTATTATTAATACACCATATTCTGTATTATTCTTATACACCCTGCCAAACAACCCGAGAAGGGAAGAATACGTACCTTCCATCCTTTTGGTATGTAGAAGTCTTCATAAGTGAAGTCCTCTATTGCTTCTCTGAAAATACCTTGAACAACTGGTGTGTTTCTTAATACTTCATTCACAAAGCTCCAAGTTTTCCTCATTTTTTGAATGTCATTCCAACATAGCTCTTTCCTTGGCATCATTTGCCTTGATATCTCATTTTGCTCTATCAATTTATAATAAAGAATGGTCACCTTTTTTTATGTGAGAAATAAAAATAATAAGGTGTCATGCAAAAGATATAAAGTAAACCCTCAATAGCAATAATATTTTTGAACCAACGATTCTATTTGTTTAAAATTAAGACATAATACATAAAATTGAACAAATAGACATATGACGTTGTTCTACATGTCAGTCTTATGTGTGTTTTACGTGTATTATGTCACATAAGACAAGTGTGTCTATTTTTTTCAATTTTATACAAGCTTATCTGTAACAAATCATGCAATAGGCAAAAAGAATTTAAAAATATATACCTTGAATTATTTCATTGAAGAACTCAGGCATTTGTTGAAGGTACTTCATGGTCAAAGTAATAGTTGTAGCAGTAGTATCATAACTACCAATAATGAAGCCAAACACTTTATCCTCTATTTCAACTTCAGTCATGTACTTTCCATCTTCATCTTGTTCATTGATCATTTGTGTCAACACATCAACTTTTGACAAATTTGGATTTTCAAATAATTCTACCCTTCTTTGTTTAATAATAACCTTCATTTGTTTCCTTAATTCATTCCCAGCTTTCATTGCCTTATAAAATGTTGTGCCAGGAAGATTTATGTCCACTGCCAAAAGACCTTGTGTAAAAATCTTGAATTTTTCATAAAGATTCAAGATTTTATCCGAATCCTCGATCCCCATAAAGGCTCTAATAGAAAGGGAGAAAGTGAATAACTTCACTTGATCATATACCATCACTTCATTTTTCCCTTTCCAATGATTTTTCAAGTGTAAATGTGACATATTCTCCATAGTACTTGTAAGTCTCTCAACATTTTGTGAGTTCAAAAAATAGCTAATGACATTATGTGCCCTTTTAGTGTCATGTTCAATAGGGACAAATGATGTTGATGGGAAGAGCTTTTGAACAGACTTAGGTCTCCAACCAATGATAAGCTTATTACCTCGAGTGAATATGAATTTGTTAGCTGCTGGACCTGAAAAAACAACAACTTTTTGGCCAAGTAATGAGGTTTTGAATACATGAGAGTTGTATTTTTTGGTTCTTTCTTGAACAAACTCATGGACCAATCCATAGTAAAGTGAAAAAAGGAATTGGATGGTTTCTCCAATAATAGGCCAACCAAAGGTGCCTGGAGCTAGAGGCATTTTTTCTTTAGGCTTGGCAAAGAAATATTTGAACAAAGAATAGATGATTATAGTAAGTGTGGTTGCAAAAGAGAGGAGGAAGAGGTCCATTTTTGTGTGCTACCTCTTCTTTTCCCTAAATTGATATTGAAGTATATACCATGTGATATGTATATATATAGTAGTAAGGGAAATCTTGTACATGCGCAAGGTCCCAATATTGGTATTGGTATGATATATAAATAATCCCTTTAATTTGTTTTAGATGTAATCTATGTCCTTTAATTTTTAGTGTGTATAATTAGGCACTTAAATTGTATAAAATGTAACAAGAAAATACACACGTCTTATGTGACATAATACATGTAAAACGCCACATAGGATACAAAATCGCTATTTAGGATGATTTTGACTATTTTGTTAGATTTTATACTCCTTCCACCCACTTTTATTTGTCATGTTGCGCTTTTCGAAAGTCAAATTAACTAATTTTTAAAGTTAAATTAAATTATATTAATTTAATATTTTAAACAAAAAATTTAGATGTTCAAAAATTATAAAAAATACTATTAATTGCATTTTTTTCGTATCAGTATAATGAGAAAATATACCTAAAATATTAGTCAAAGTTCTTATAATTTGATTCTATAAATAAAAATATGACAAAAAATAGTGGACAAATGGAGTATAGGTTTAAGTGTTTACTTATGCACATTCAACGTTGAAGGCTATATATTCCAGCCTGTTTCAAGTTAAATGACATATTCATGTATTATGTCTCTCAATATTTATCCACATTATTTTAAGCATAATTTGAAATTTTAGATCTAAAATTAGTTATATATGTTTACGGTGTAGTAAATCATCGTATCAAGTGTAAAATAAATATTATTAATATTGGTAAATTTTCAAATCGTGTTAAGTCAATGGTTTTTAATTTTTGTTATACTAAATTAAAAATTTGATTCAATGATTCTATTTTTTTGTTTTGTAATAAATTATATACATCTGTGATTGTTAATCATCTTATTTTTTTTTCTCAAAATCCAAATGTAAGGGCTCACTGGCATATCGATAACTGAAGTATTTTAGTCGAAGTAGTTGCAAAAATTTATACAAAAGATCCACGACATTCAAAATAGTAATATTATAACTAAAAAAATATGAATTAAAATTAAAAAAACGCAACTAAAATGGGTCCCACAATTTCTTTTTTAACAAATTACACATTAAGTAAATTAAAAGCTAAGAAATAAGAATAACATTTTTTTTAAAAAATTTCCAAAAGAGCCTTATTCTTCATTTCTTTATCTAAAATCACTTTAAAAAATAAAAATAGAAAAAATAATTATTCTCTTCTTAATTTCATTTTACCAATAATAATAGAATAATTTTCTGTATTTATTGACAAATATATGTCATATATATAAAATTATAATTAATTTATCATTAATTTTTATTTATATAACAATAAAAAATAATTAAAATTAAACTATATATATTTAAATTTTTTTCTGAGTTAAAGTAGGATAAATATTTGTTAATTATAAAAAAATATTATTAGAAAAGAATGTGCTAAAAAAAACAAAATAAATAATATATTTATTTAGAAAATGAGCATTTTCTACTCATTAAAAACAATAAAATCATTCTTACATTAAAATATTGATACCAAAGACATTTTTGGACGAAATCACAAGCGTGGATATTTTTATTCATTTCACACAATTTAAGGATAATTTTTTTACATTTTTTTCTAAAAATGGTTTTACTTCTTTTTAGATAACATATTAATTTTAATTTTTCACGTCATATATCTAAAATTATAAAATTAAACTTTTTAAATATATTCATTTAATATAACTTTAATTTTTAAATTATAAAATTAATAAAAAAAATTATTTTCTTTAACTTCGTGTAAAATTATTGAACAAAGACATGCCGTAGTCTTGGGGATTGAGGTTAACGGAATCGACAGAAAACATAAAAAATACAATCATTATTGGGATGCCACTCACGCAATCAGATATTGAGAATATACAGATCTACTTTCTCAATTCTTTTTTATTTGATAAATTTTAATTCGATATATCTATCAACAAAATAATAATTAGTGTAGGGATTTATCATTTTATATTTATTGATTAATAGTTTTAAATATATTTATTTATTATATTTGTGGCCTAACTCACATCGCAAAGTATAGCTTAATGAGAGGACGATTGTTCAAGCTTCATAGAAAATTCATTCATTTTATTAATCATCAATGTAAAATTTTGTCATCTTTTTAAGAGAGAAATATTAAAAACATCTCTAAAGTCGACGTGATTTATTAGTTTCATTGTTGAACTATATATTAACAGTCCTAAAAACATTCATTTACTTGAATATCTAAATTTAAATATACACATGATCTTACAACATAAGGGATATATCTTAATTTAGTTAGTAAAATGTAGAAATATTTTTAAAACTATCAATAATTCAATAACAAAGCTAATAATTTACGTCCAAATCAAAGATATTTTCAAGACTTCCTTTTTTCTTTTATAACAAGTTTCCCTTTCTGAGGTATCATCTAGTGAAGTGTTTATCCCAAAATTAAATTTTCAGCAAGACTGTGTAGACTGTGTAGTTGAGAACAATAAATTGAAAGAAAAGAGGATAAATATTTTGAAATGATAGCCATTGAATCCTCACATGGTTAAGACACTGCAGTATGGGTACTACATTGTATTTAATCCGTTAATTTTCCCATTGCGTAATAAATGGGAAAATGCTTTGATTGTGTAATATATAAACAGGAAGATTGGATATGGATTAGCCCATACTAGGGTCTATACTATTTTAATTATACCTAAATGTCAAATCAAATTAGATCGAATTCTGTTATAAAATCAAGCTCATAAGCATATAATCATAAAGAGAGAAGGCGAGAGAAGTAGATAGAAGAAGAGGAATTTTCTTCTTATTCAAGTGTATATCAAATGGTGAGTGATATCTCTATTGATAGTGTTGAGATATCACTCCCAAATGTCATCACATTAATAACTACATAGTAATCTCTTTAAGGTTCTTATAACCTTAGAAACACTTATACATTAGTCCAATTAATTGTTGGATAACTCTAATGGATCATTCACATAAAACAATGGATTTATAACACTCCCCCTTAGATGTCCATAGATAATGTGTCTCATTAAAACCTTATTAGGAAAAACTATGTAAGAAAATATTCTAGTGAAGGAAAAAGAGTACACATATCTTTTGATAAGCAATATTGTTGCCTCATTAAAAACCTTGCCGAGAGAACCCAGTGAAAAAAAACTTCGGTCAAGGGAAAAAGAGTGCAACGCGTATTATACTCTCCCTGATTAAACATCACTTAATTTCTTGTGATGATATCTCCAATTTTCGTACATTGTGGTTGATATATTCTTTTTCAAAAAAAATTCCACATTTCCTGAATATGGTGTGTCATTTATCTCAATCAGACGCACTCTCGACTTGATTCATGGAGGGCTTTTATTTCTGCATAGCAACATTTGCTTCATCGATCGCCAGGATATTATTGTGCCTCCACATGCAAACACATAGCGTGCTTGAGATAGAACTTTATGGGGATCAGATAAATATTCTGCATCTGCATAATCAATAAATTGTCTTGCAATCCTCGGAATAGAATAAACCCATGGTCCTTCGAGGATATTCAATCATGTGCTCAACACCATTTCAATGTCCTTTTGTCGGGAGAAACTGAATCTTGCAAGTTAATTTACTGCAAAACAAGTATCTGGTGTATATCAAATGGTGAGTGATATCTCTATTTATAGTGTTGAAATATCACTCCCAAAGGTCACCACATTAATAGATACATAGTTATCTCTTTGAGGTTCTTATCACCTTGGAAGCTTATCATCTTGGAAACACTTATACACGAATCCAATTAATTGTTGGATAACTCTAATGGATCATCCACATAAAACAATGAATTTATAACAAATTCTAATTTAAATTGATTTTTTATTTTTTAGTTTGATTTTGAATTAATAATTTACTTTGTTTAAGTTTTTAGTTAGATTTGAATTTTAAAAAATAAAAACCAAAAAAATCTTAGAGGGAGAGTGTTATTGTTTTTCATGATGATTTAATTTATGTTTTTTGTTTAGAAATCTATAATTAATATACTCTTAAGTATTGTGTTTTACGTTTTACTTGTTATCTATATTAGAATTATATTTAAGGGATTCAATGTTATTACTTGTCCTGTCACGACCCAAAACGTGTCGTGAGTGGCACCCACACTTATCCTACTATGTGAGCGAACCAACCAATCTGAACCCCAACATTTCAAACATAATAAATAGAAAAAAATGCGGAAGACTTAAAACCCATTAACAGAATCAATAATCAACTTCTAAAACTCAAAACTTATCATTATCCCCAAAATCTGGAAGTCATCATTACAAGAACATCTATCCTCAACTTACTAAATCTAAGAGTATCTAAGAAGCTAAAATAACTAAACAACTAGTCTATGCCAGAACTTCAAGGCATCAAGACGTGAAGAAGAAGACCCAGTCCAAGCTAGAAACAATAGCTCACCCTGAAATCTGACGTGATGAAGACTGGCTAGAGTTGCAGTTGATTTGAAGACGACGGTACTTTTGCTGTACTCCACAATTAACAAAAAGAAAACATACAAGTAAGGGTCAGTACAAACACAAGTACTGAGTAGATATCATCGGCCAACTCAAAATAAAAAGCAATATATATCAGATGATATCATAAAATCAACTACAATACTCAACAGGTAGCAACAACAAGTACAAGGATCATTGATAATAACGCCAAGTACACCCATGAGGACTCAAGCCTCCATACCATACTCATTTAGGAAATAGGTTCATTAAATTTGAGTATATTAAGATAATTCAAGATTCATTCTCTTTATTCCTCTTGTGTCGGAACGTGACACTCCGATCCCCTAATACTACGTGTCGGTTCGTGACACCCAATCCCCTAATACTGTGTGTCGGTTCGTGACACCCGATCCCCTAATACTACGTGTTGGTTCGTGACACCCGATCCCCCTAATACTACGTGTCGGTTCTTGACACCCGATCCCCCTAATACTACGTGTCGGTTCGTGACACCCGATCCCCCTAATACTACGTATCGGTTCGTGACACCCGATCCCCCTAATACTATGTGTCGGTTCGTGACACCCGATCCATTAACCTCATTCTTTTAGTTCATCAGGCCTTCTTTTATACCAAGGCATCATCATTAAC